TCCTTGACGGCCTCGTAAATGTAACCGATGACATTGTCGGGATGCGTTTCGCTTTACCTCGCCAACTCCGAAGGCACTCCTTTACGAGTGCTCTGCCTTATTGGAAATCGTCCCACATACGAGGGCTCGTCGAATTCCGCCGATAACGCGCTTTACGTGCATATTACCGACGGACTCCTTCCCAGATGTCTCCTTATAATTCGCAGAAGCTTCCCCGGGTGTGTCGTCTTCGTAGGAAAAGACCCGTACTACAATTTAATGAGCGTAATCAGACACACTTGTGCCCTAACAATCACTCTTAAAACTAAACTCCTGGCACGATTTTATGTAAAAACAGAAATGGAAACAACGTTAGGCAACATTTATAAGCGCCATGTGTGCTAATATTTCATGTAACGGAGGGTAATTACCGATTTAACAGCCGTCGAATTGTGCTGGAAGAGGGGGCGTCGTTAAAAAGATAGCCGCCCGTGGCGCCATCTCATAAGGGAACTCGAAACCTGCTGAGTGTGCTTCCCGCCGTGTAAGAAGCCGCCGCTCGCCGATAACTCGCGCATAACTGGCGTGTGGAAAAGAAGGTATCTACATAATACGTTTACCTAAGCACGACAATTCATCGACCGTTAAATTTGACCTCGGTCGATAACTGTACTTGCTCTTTACTTCCAAATATTTTAGAGATTCCCGACACCGCACGTAAAAAACGGTGCCTTCTGACCTACAAGTAGAACTGCAGTGAAACTATATTTTAGTAACGGTCATTTCATGTATTTCATTACCTCACGACCACCAGAAAAATTCAGCCGTTACAATTTCTAGCCATCTAGAGTATAGCCGTTAAAATCGAAGCGTTCGGTCGAGTTTTCAACGAAAGATATGAAAAGCCGAATCACGAGGCGTTATCGATGCGTATAAATGTAGTTTATACGCGGGGCGACGCGTTTGCAGCCTGTTGCGACGAGCGCGAGAAACCGCCGCTGGCTCCATCTGTGGGCAGTCGGCGCTAACGCGGACCCAGAGAGAGAGAGAGATAGGCTGGCTTGGTCAAACAGCGCGCACTCGGCAAAAGTGATTCGCCGAGTCGACGGCAGATGGCCGATCCGTCGAGTGTCGGTGCGCTCGCGCGCACAGCGGTGCGCGCATTTCTTTCGGGCAGATTTACGAGGGAATTAAAACTGACAATTATTATTATTGTGCCGTCATATAAGGAGGTAACAGATAATAAATTCGGCCGTAAAACGTTAAACTAGTGGCCGCGTTTTGTAGGGCTGGTTTAGTGCTGAGTCGCGTGCAACGGCGCTCGTTAAAACAGCCGTAAACCGACGTAACCGCCAGTGGTACAGCTAGTTCACCGCAGAGCGCGGCCCGTGCCCAAAAACGAAAACCTGTTCTCCCGTTTTGGGTTCCTCTTTTAAGCGGATACAATTTTAGGACGGCCGCGGCTGGCGCACGTGGCGCGACGGTCGAGTGAACACGTGGTTCGGAATGACAATGACGAGTGGTGGACAACCGTGAAGAAGGTATCCAATAACAAGGTATATTAAACCAAATTAGATTTTATTATTTTTCAAAGACCAAGTGGTATATAATAATAAATATGTCCGTAGGAAAAGCAACTCGACGGACGATAAGTCGAGGCCGACACTCCGTTGGCAGTACAGAGCTCGACAGTACTCGAGTATTTACCGTTTAAGTGGGTACGGACCACTGGCACCGAACTAGTTACGATTCTAGCCGTAAGAGCAGCTCAGTGGTCGATTCCCGAGGAATCGCTCCTGAGCTCGATGGAATTTCAGGCCCGCGGAATGCCAGCCAGAATGCCGTCCACTATCTCAGGATATACCTCGTAGGCTGGTATACACAGCCGTAATGTGCAACATAGCACCCAAGAATCGTAACTATACCGATGCATCGTAAATCTGGAGGAGTCGGCGTACAACAGGTTCAGAATGATATATCGCTCGTGCTCCCGGCGCGCCGAGATGCGACTGCATACAACCTCCTTGACGCCACTCTCGTAAATGGCGCATCAATGTATATTAATTGGCTGTACAGGGAGAGGCGAATGGGCGGCTGTAAAAAGCACAATGGCCCTGAAATCCGCCGGCGTGGTGTCCCATTTAGGAAAGAGCACATCCAAGCAAAAGGTAACCTCAAACCATAACCATTCTCCACTTCCATTCTTAACCATTAACTCAAGTGCATAAAAGCCACAATTAAAAAAAAAAAGAAATGAGAAGATTGCATCGGGATTATTGCAAGGTGTTAATCACTCTCGTGGAAAATAAGGATGAAACAATATTTGCAAGAATTCCCGACAATTCGCCAATCTATCATGCCGGCGCGCCTGCCGCCCTTAACACCTTCCCTCGATTAGCTAAATATAGATTTACCGCGGTAGTCAATGTCGGGATTGAATGATGCTTGAATTTTGGAAATTCCTTACCGATTATTGTTGATAAATCGAAGGGATATTTATTTCAGGTCGAGGTCTCGTGCGCGGCCGCGGGAAAAACGGAAAGGCGATATTTAAAGGGTCGGCTGATTCGCGTGGTGCGGCGATTCCAGCCAATCGTGGGAACGTAATGGCCTCCGCGGAAGGAGCCGAAGTTGGCAGCGCCGCCGCTAGATGGCGGTAGCATAGCCGGTCGTAAATCGCCCCGGGATTCCCGCCCATCGCGCGCCGAGAGGCGGCGCTTCGCCCGCCTCCCTTCTCTCCGTCATGGCGGGGGGGTGGTGGGTGGGCGTCCCCACCCCGGCGTCCTTCCCCACCCCGCAGCGTCCCCCACCCGCCGCGCCGAGGGAGGCCATCTTCATAAACGCGAGCGCCCATTTCAAACGGTATTGAGGCTAATTTAAGCGCCGCTTAAGCGATACACTGTTTGTTTATTGCTTGTTAAAGCGTTCTGGATTAAATATAAAACGTTGACGGACGCGCAGACGGCCGCTAGACGGAGTGGCGCTATCTCGGCGTCGTGATAACCAGATGAGACGGAACCGGGCCGCCAAGCGGACTGACTCAGGGATCCTCGAACTCCGCTCCACGCTCCTCGACGGGAATAATGGATCGAAGAGATTGCCCCTGATGCCAGCTGACGCCAGATCCGTCTCCAAGGAATCCTCGAGCCCAGGGGAATTCCTCGGAAGACCCACACCTCGGATTTTCGATAAAAAGGAACATTCGAGATGCGGTGAATATGCATATCAGAGTGATAAATTAGAAAATTTAGTCCTCTTCGTTTTGGAATAATTTTTACAGGGGACGCGAGAGCTGGAATGGTTTCTCGGGATTATTATCCACGGCTTGCAGGTGAAACCTGGATCCGGAGAGGAGCTTTAAAGCGGATGAAAATGGAATTCCCAGGTGGAGTTCCAGGGAGAAGAAGCAGAGTTAGAATTAGCCAGAGACGCGGTGCTCTTGGGAAGGGAAGTAATTAATCGGGGTGAAATTCCCTAATTGCGGAGCAGGTTGGATTTTGTTATGGACCGAGGAACCGTTCTCTTTACTACCGTTAAGAGCCGAACGCCGATCGCACCTCTACACAGAGGAGGATATATTGTAATTATAATCTTCCGTTATGCGAAGGCCGCAAAAGTGTTCCGGCTTACGCGATGATTACTTAGCAGGCTCGGGAGATTATTTCACGGGGTTGTTATTGGATAATGTCGGCGGTTCTGTATTTCAGGGGATTACTTTCCTCGCAACTGGCCCGCGGAAAACTCGGACGAGAACCCCCGCTGAACTTGTCTCCGACTCTCCGTCTCTCTCTTTCTCTTCGCGTCTGGAAGCCGAAGAGGTCCTGCTCGATGAAAAAGCCAGGACACTCCTGTGACTAAGGCAGTCCCAGGAATGCGAGAGCAACGGAAACCAACGGACCAGCCTGCGGAAATTTAATCGCCCTTCTCGCGTTTCGCTGTGAAATCGGACTCAGGGATACTCGAGGTGCGACTCTGATACAGTGATTTTGACCGTTGGCATGGTAATACGTATCTCCCTTGGCAGAAAAATATCTTATAATGGTTACCTCTTCCACAGGAAATTCCGCAGCTGACTTGGTTTTGCCTCTATCTGTACCAGAGGTAGGAAGAACTTTGCCAAGGAATAGGACGAGGCGCCCCATTCCAGGACATTTCGCAGATATGGAAGTTGCGGAAAACAGCGGGCATTGACGCGGTACTTTAATTGGATTCTTCCGGTTTATTAGCTGGAACGTCGTTTAGGAATTCGCGACGCTCTCTTGGAAATGGAATAACAGAAAATATTTTATTCCAGGGAGGAGGGTATTATGCCTGCGAGTTCCAGTTGCGAGGAGCTCGACGATACGGCAGGCCGTTTGCGATGGGGAGGTATTGTTTCTAATTTTCTTTCTCCTTGTGCACGTATTCTACGGGGTGACCGCCAAAATTGTGTACCTTTTCCAGCCCCAAGGGAAGGCGCATAGTAATTGTTAATAGTAGGTGCAAGGGGGCCGAGGATCCACCAGCCAATGTAACAAGGACCCGAAATTCCGGCCGTACTTCCTGCGGGCAAGGACATCCCCACGACCCGAAAGGGCGGAGCGGACCCTACAAATTCCGTCCGGGAGAATTCCGCGGATGTGGAATTGGCAGAAAACTGCGACATGGACACGGTAACCTAATCGCGTTCCTCCCATTTCCCGGGCGAACCGCCACATAGGTATTCGCGGCGCAACGCTCTCCGGCGAATTGTGTTTATAGGAATAGCCAAACGTATTTGTCCCCGGGGAAATATAGTCCCTTGGAGGTGCACCGGTTGGATCGCGCCTGTGGAGAGACGCCACCACTAAAAAGATCAATACGCCATCCTCCAGGCCGTTCCATGGAATCCAGCCGGTGCTACGTGCTGCTCCCACTTGCCCCAACGGCGAATGCAGCGCCAAAGAGTGCACCGCGGCCTGCACTCGAACGAAGACCCTCGAAGAAAGCGACTTTTTGCTCATCGATGCGGATACATCTCTAAAAAGGACGTCTAAACTTACCGGAGCTGGATGTGACCTCGTCCGAGAGAATGACGTCGCCTCGTTCCTCCATACGAAGAGCTGGAACCAGGTCCGCCAAAATCCTTGGAAGACACCCCCGGAGTCTCGTGCCGCTGCAATCAGAATTTCAACATGCACACCTTAATCTGCATCTGCTAAATCGTGCCGAATTAATACACCGAGCGATATGCGAAACGAGGTTTGCTGGCCGTTCGACACTTGCTCGCAAACAATGGGAATGCATCATTCAGCGGATAGCGTGCATCGAAAAACCGAGTCGTCGCCTCCGGTTGGCTGGGATTAATATTCAATCGCTTGAATACGTTATCGGTCGCACCGTACATCCTCCATGTAAATGAGCTCGTATTCGTACAAAGTGCTCGTAATTAAAACAAATTATTAATTCCAGCTACCGGGCTCTTTAGAGGCCGGCCAACGACAAGATAATTAGTCGTATCGAGTACTCCTTTAATCAATGATCGAAGCGCCGTCTCGTTGCGGCGATCGGGAGTACTTGACTTGCAAATCATCGACAATACGAGGTAACATTGTCTGAGATATGGGCCAAGTCGCCCTCCGTAAAGTCCCATCGAAATGGCCGGGTAATTGCCTCGATCGCCGGAAAAATAGGTATTTTAAATCAGCAGGAAAGGAGCCCTTAGCTTATCGCTTTATCTACTCCGCTAACTGCCCGGCTCTGTCAATAAATGTCCGCTGGCCGATATGAAGGACCTTTAAAAATCTCGGCGCTTAAAGTGGAAAGTGGTCATCCGTGGAAATTTTTCTTTCTATAAAGCGGCACGCGAGTAACAGTTTATACAGTCTTATGCGGACGGCAACCGGAGGGAGACCATCCGCCGTCGTCCCGACATCCGCACCTCGGTGGCGTTGCGTTCCCTCGAAACGGGCTCGAAAAACGAAGGAAAAGCGTCGCCCCGGGGAGACATCGACTGGGACTTTTGTTTCACTTTCGTAGCGCACCGCCGTAGTTATTAAGATCCAGTTTCCCTCTCCTATAAGAAAGGGCCATCCGAGCCAGGTTGACGGAAAGTTTCCCGGCACCGGGTGTCGGGCCGAGATGCGACCCCCGGCGAGAAATTAGAGAATATTAAATTTATAATGAAATTAGGGCCGACAGTTGGGACAGAGGAGGAAGGAGCGAATGCACGCCGGGTCCCGATCAACCTCCGACTAATCTCATCAGCCACGCTTTCGTGCGTTTTCATCTTTACATATTTAAAGTTGGAAATCCTCGGGGTGACTTTGCGACGAGACGGAGGGCCCTACAGCGAGAGTCGCCCCGTGGAGTTTCCACCCTTGTCCTCGGCGGGAGACTGGCAAATCTTTTATTATCCGGTTAATACTGCACGTCGGAAACGGAAGGACGGGAGGCTGGAATTAGGCTCGCGTGGCTCCGGGTACCGAGTCGAAGTAATGCCTCCATCTTGCCTGGGTCATTGGCCATCGAGAACTCCGCTCAGCCAATAAAGTAGGATATACGGATACGTCGATTACCGACCCCTCTGGGGTCGACTTATGCTGAAACGCGGCCAGGGCGTGGACCTTCCGCGGTCGTTAGGGAAGAAACGTACCGACGATGATTTCGCCGACATGGGAAAACAAACGCCGAGGCGAGTTCACGCCGAGCGGAGGATCGATCGAGCAAGACGCTCGGAGAGCGGTACCATAATGGCGTCGTTCACCAGGCGAGGCCGCTGCAGGAGTCCTCGACTCTCCGGTGTACTCCAGTTACCCGACAGGACGAGGTCGGCCGACGAGTACAAAGGAGGTTTACTAATTGAGCAATAAGGTCCGACAGGTCCCGGCGACCTTTCGGTGTTTATCACGGCGACAAAGGCGTTAAGGCGGCTCTATATCTATCCGCTCGGCGTCGGTAGTTATTTATAAACCGTAATGATAATTCCCCGGCGGCCGGGGGTTTTATCTGCAATTGTATAGGCCCTGATATTTATGGCGCATTCGGCTCCTCCGTAATTGCCTGAATTGGCTGTCTAATGCCGGCGTTAAATGTTTACGATACGTGCGAGGTCCCGGCGGGACGACCGCGTGCGGCCTTTCCGCCGACTCGAGCCCTGGCGCGTCTTCGCGGCGTATTTCCGCCCGACCGAGGACGCGCTTCCGGGGAATTTCTCCCCGCCACCGAAACGCTGCGAGCCGGTTCGAGGTGGCCGAAAATAACGAGAGAGCGCCTCCACGAGCACGCCGAAAACCGCCGTTAAGCCCTCGGGGTGCTTTTTCAGGAGGTGGACGCGCCTCCTCCGCGAGGCTCGCGATATCGCGGCGGATAAGCCGCTGCACTTTGCGGGCCCACGCCGAAAAAAATCTCCTGACGGCCGATCGGTGCCGGTGGACAAATTTGCGACCTCGCAAATTACCTCGTGGGGGCGAAAAGAGGTCGATGCCTTTTCCCTTTTTCGGCGACCTCGTCGATAGAGGACGACTGGCACATAAATCGTACCCCTTGTATGCTTTTATTGTCATTCAGAATTTTTATTTATTTATTTTTTCACTCGGTACTAAATGTTAACCGGATATCAAATGTCGAATGGTAAATATATATAGGGACGATTTAGGCGATCGTAGCCTGCAATTGCAAGTTCCATCTAGATGGCACTTTGGGAGCGAACTCGGGGTTGAAGTTAACGAACGAGGGGAGGATTTGCGACGGACCTCGCCGTGCGGCCGGTCCGCGCCGTCCCGGCGGCGTGCCGCAGACGGCGGGCGACCAATTATCCGGAACCGTAAGGGCGAATCGAGGCTCGCAGGGCGCGAGGTCGAGACGGGAAAATTGCGCGAAATTGCACGAGCCCCCCATCGGGATAAATAACGAGGGTCGCGCAAAATGGCCGGTCGATATTGCAAATTCCTTGCGGCTCTCTTCCGGCGGCCTGCGTGCCCTCCGCGCCGGTAATTAAGGGCCGCGTCGCCCCGGAGTTCCGCGAACGCGGCGCGCCCACTGCGGGAAACGTCCAAAGGCTCTTTTCTGCGGAAAAGTGAGGAAAAACGGGGCGAGGCTTTCCCGAAGAAGGGGAACCCTTGCGGCAGGAAAATATCCCGGCCAAAATTTCCTGAGTTTCCTTGGATCCGTCGTTTCTCTTTCCGCATCTTTTGCCCAACGTCGGACGTCTTGGACTTCTCGAATCCGCGGATACCGCCGACGTCGCCGTCGCGATCGATAGAGGACCTAACGAGAACGGAAATAAACGCCCGATGTCGCGTTGGCGACGTCGCGGATGTCGAAGAGCATCTCCCTCTTCAAGGTCCTCCTTGAATAGAGGAGGAATTTATTTCCCACCGATCAATGACTCTAGTTTCGAGTTTACTTCCCTAATTGCTCTTTCCTGGTCGCGCCGATTTTTCCCGCGGATTATTATCGCCGAGGATCGGCGGTAAATAAATAGTCGGCCATTATTCACGGTTTGGGGAACCTCTGCTACGAGGAGAACTCGCCGAGCCGAGACGCGATTAAATGCAGTTTCCTCGCTTCTTGTCCCTGGAGAAATGCGATACCGGGGGCGAGAGGGCCGAGAGATGCCGATCTTGCGGTGGAAAAAAAAAAAAGGAGAAATGAGGGAGATCGGGTTATCGCTTGCCAGGTGCGCTGAGATACGCAGCTTGTCGCATGGCGTTCCTTTAACGAGAACCTCGTGGAACATCCTTTCTGATTGGTTCCGCCATGTTTTAGAAAATATCCCGGGGGATGGATCTCGTTATCGCGATCTACCTCCCGATCTGCACGATCTTGAAGGAGCCATCCAATCTTGAATCAAAAGCACCACTAGGTGCATATTATTAATATATTAATACGATAAATTTTTCAGGTCTGGAAGCGATGAGGCTGATTTTTTATCCAGGTCGATTTCGATCGGGCCGAAGATCCTTTGTCCCGGTATCGGGAACTCGAAGACAACGATGGCGGAGATAAATGCCCCGAGGAAAGGAGGTGGTCACCATTCGTTCAGGACGCCGCAGAAGGTTCTCCTTGGAGGAGAAACCTTTCCTCCATCTTTCACCGTAGGTGCACCCTAAGCGAGGCGTGCAAGGATAGGCTCAACCCCCAGGACTTTCCCTTTTCTCCCGGAGAAAAGTCATGGATGACACGGGATCCCACGGTTCCCAGGCATTCCAGAAGTCCTGCAACCAAGACTCCCAACTTTGAGATCCTATCGGTAAGGAATGACACCCTGCAATCCCTTAAAATTTTCCCTCAATTTTTACCATGATTTTATGTAGAACTTAACACCCCAAAGTCTGCCACAAAAGAAATATACATAATTATACAAGTGATATATGTGCCCATAATTATGAAAGTGGTCTAAGTCAAAATTAAAAAAAAAATGAGTTTATCAGTTATTTCACGCCATATTATTTCAAACGAAATTAATTCAATGTAATTTCGAAACAAAAAATATATGACTTAGACCACTTTCATAATTATGGGCACATATTAACCGCATTATTTTTTTTTCAGAGTTTCGCAAGCAGTTTGTAAAAATCCCCCGTGTCGGCGAAGTCGGCCAAATCCGCATCGGGAACCGCTCGACGGAAGGACCCCGAAGAGCCGCGGAATCTATCCGCGATATCCAGAGCGACCGGACGACCTCTTTTGCGTGGGATTCAATTTCGAGCCTTCGATGAAAATTTCATAGTCCACGCCGGAAGTCCAAGGCCCTTGGCGTGGTAAGAACCCGGCTTTCTGAATTCCCACTCTATCCTCCTGGAGGTCTCCTCGAGGGTCTAAAACTTGACGACAGTCGTCGCGGGCTCGACGAAACGCACTCCAGGAGCACCTACTTCAATTTCGGGGGATAGACGGAGCCTTCGAGTGCCTCGAGGAAACATCTACGGAATCTCGGCGACGAGGACACTTCCAAAGGAAACGACGAGGTCCCCACGAGGTCTCTTTCCGGTCCCGCGAGGTCGCCGACGGCGCGGTAGACGCCCGACGTTATTCTCGTGCGGAAACCGCACGCGGGTCGCCGAGGGAAATGCCCTCCCCGCTCGCTGAGGAGCTTTACGGCCGTGAAATATTTTTTCCGGGCGAACGAACTCGTTTACTTGGATAACCTGAAGATGTACCGGAAGAAGTACCCGAAGAGGGCCGAAGACGAGGTGTCCCGATCGCGGGAGTACCTGGATAGGATTCCAAGGGACAAATAGTCCTATCGGTGAAATTCGTTCCTTCGAAATTATAGATACAAGGAGGTACCTCCAACTTTCCTCTCAGCCGGCGCATCGCGGTTTGCGGAGCTCCGAGGAGCACTTTCCTCAATTTCCCGGCGGGGGAGAGGGTGGAATGGAAGTTCCGAGTGCTTCGACGAGATCCACGAAATCTCGGTGACGAAGACACTCGGAGTAAATGAGGCCCTCGACCCGGCGTCGTGCGGCGTCCCGACGGCGGTCCGCCGACGGTGCGGAGGACCTTTGACGTCTGGCGTTGCCGGCGAGCCGCATGCGTGCACGCGCATGCATAAACCATCGAGCGTGCGCGCCGCGTGCGAATCGCCGATGCGGGGAACCCGCGTCGTCTCGACGGCGTCCCGACGACGTCCACGAAGCCGATAACAAGGAGGATAAGGTAACGAGAGGGAGATAAGGCGTCGAGAGGGGACCGAGCCGTGACCACGGACCCGAAGACACGCAACGTCGCGCAAACTCGTCAGATCTTTCTCTTGAAACGTCAAGAAAGATCTGGCAAGAATTAAGGGTCTCTATTTGCACCGAATAATTGAATTTAACGAGCAACCGGTGGTTAACGTTTTCAGGTGGGCCGGGGAGACCATGAAGAGGTACCATTCTCTTGGCGCAATTAACGTAAGGATGCCTGATAAATAAATAGAAAAGAATCACGAGCACAGAGATTAGAATATTGATAATTAGAAATCTCCGTCTAAATCCAATTATGCAATTCTATGAGTAATCGGTGATTATGATTTTAAAGTGAGGTGGATCCCGAGGTGGACCGTGAAGAGGAGCGATAAATGGTGTCAAGTCTCCCACAGCTGGAGGAATCGCTGCAAGACGATTACAGCCAGCTCCCCTCCTGGCGCAATTACCGTAACGAGTGGCAAAGATAAAGCAAAGGTCACGAGCCCAGGTCGCCGGCGCCGATGCCCTCTTCTTCGGGGCGGCACCTCGCCGATACGGCCAAGAGCGATGGAGACGTCGCGGAGGTCGTGACGGTAACTCAGGGGAACTCGAGGAGACGGTAATGGGGCAAACGCCCCCCGTTTCGCTATCTGATTCCATCGGATGGTCAACGTCCCCCCTGAAGAGGCCGCGAGGACCGCGCGAAGACGCGGCGCCCTTCGCCGTCTTCCGCGGGACCCTCTTCGAGAAGAGGACCCTCCTCCGAAGAGGGGGCGAGGAAGAAAGAGAGGAGCGGAGACGTATATCTTCCGGGCCATCCCGCCGGTACCTCGGTAACCCTAACCCCACGCATTAATATTTTAACCGCATCGCTTACGCGGCTCCGCAGATTGCCTCCGGTGTACCGGAGGCAAGTCGATTACCTCTTCCCGCCCCCGCCCCAACCCCCGGCCCTGGGGCCTCTTCTTCTTCCATTCACCCGAAACTCTGACTGGCGGACAAAGAACGGCAGCTAGTTTACTTCGGCCCGGTTTAATCCACCGTCGAGGGGGCCGCCATATTGGCCGGCCGCTCACCCCTTTACGTGGCTGGCTGCATCGAGGAAGGATTTCCAACCCTCTAAAAGGGTCCTGTATCCTCGCAGTCCCCTACCAAGGGCTCCGTAAGCCAGTATCCTGTACTCAAACTGCCGTAATTAGGAAAAATCAGGGAGAAATTGGGGAAAGTTACGGGAAGTCCATGGAATTCAAAATGGAGGGGGTTCTCCACCTTGCGAGGGACCTTGTTCGTTCTCTCATTAATTTCCTGTCATTTCAGGGGATCCCTTGGAAGTTGATCCTTCTCCGCCGGCCATTCCGAAGGAGTCAAACCGTGGCTCGAATCCATCCTCTGGAGGGATCTTGTCCAGGATTCGCTCGAGCAGATTCCCAGATTGGCCGGACCTTCGGCCGAGCCTTAATCGACATTCCGAGCACACTCGAGATGAGGTAGACACGAAAGTATTTGCACGGCGGAGCGCATAAGTATACATTCATTTTTTTCCTCGGAGGGCTCCTCTTTCTTATGGATGGGCGAGGCTGCGGTCCGCGTAGGAAAGAGCTCCGCTCCGCTATCGCGGCCGAGGATGCGCCCGGGGCGAGGGGCGAGGTGGAGGATACCCGTGGAGGGAGGCGGAGAAAAAACCGGAGGAAAACAAAATAAAAATGACGCTGCAAAAATACGTCGAAGGAAACAAGAGAAAGAAGGGTCTCTCCGAGGCGGCCGCGATGGAGGGTCCGGCCGCAGCGACCCGGCGGAGAGGCCGCGCCGGGCCAGCCGCTTCCAAGGAGTCTTATTAACACCGAACTACCTCCTCTCTTCAAACTACGAAATCCCGAAGACCGATCGACGTATCCGAAACCAAGAATTCGACGACCATAAAAAATATATCCACTCAAACGGGGCGAAACTTGAAGACTCCCTCGACTCTTCGATTGCAAGTGCATGAAGTGCGATCTTTGTACGGACGTCGTACGGAGAGTCTTGACTTCCTGTATCGAATAAATCAACGAGATGGTACATTTTCTCGGGGATAGTTGGGGACGGCGACATCGCGGGGGCCGGGTCTCGGAAGGCGGAATGCCCCGGGGGAGAAAAAGTCCGAAAGAAACGAAAGGAAATAAAAGAAGGATCCGCCGACGGTCCGCGCGCGGCTTATTAAGCCGCACCGCGTCGGCCGGTACCGGTACCGCTCGGCTCGTTAATTCCGCGAGATCGGCCCGCGCAGACGTCCGGTTAAACATTGTCGCGACCACCGCAATCGCGGGCCGCGGACGTCTCGCCGGATGCGGGGACCACGGAATCCCGTAATTGGCATGGGACTTGGTACCGCACGTCCGCGGTACCGATACGCGGCTGCGAGTACCCGCGCAATTAGGGAAAGGAGTGCCTCTAGCCGCAGGGTCCAGCAGCGGCACATACCTACGGTACGCAAGTGCGTGCTCGCTAAAAACGCACATGCATATGGATACGCCCCCCGCTTGCGGCCCCTTTGCTGACGGTCACTTAGACCGTGACAAACGGCGTTTGCATGCTTGCATAAACATAAGAAGGTGGCTCCGTCCCTTTCCTCGCAAGCGCCGCGCCTAGCGGGTTCCGGGTCGCGATCCGCGGCCGGAAGCTGCGGACCCTCCGCTCGAAAAACCGCCAAGGGTGGTTACACCCTTGTCGTGGCACGGGATGTTGCCCTCCGCTTATGAAATTATGCGCCTTGACGTGCCTTCAAATGATATACTACATGAAATGATATTTAATTAAATCAAGCTTCATGGTTGGGTATTTGAGATTTTTAGTGATAAGCAAAAATTGCAAACCAAGACCAAAATCCACTTTGACGGCCACAGGATATTTTGGATCTTGTGGAGGTTTTAATTTCTTCGCATCTTTTAAATCGTTTATTTCGATGGTCGATGAAGGAAATCTAGGGAGGAATTTTTTTGTACAGGTGGTGGAGGTACAAGAGCAGGTGTCGTTGGTGCGTTCAGGGGCGTTGCTCTTGTCGCTACTTTTCGGGCCCGTGAGGGGCTATCAAGGTGCAGGATCACTCGTAAAATTATCCAAAGCCTCGGAGATACGATCCTCCATGGTTTTAGGGTGGAAAATCGCGTGTAGGGCGATCTGGCGAAATCGAGCCACCTCCGGGTCGTAAGCCGGATGGGTCGGCGTCACGCCGGAGGTAAACTCGACGGGCAATGGCGAATAACCCGATACGGGATACTCCGGAACATCCGCGAACCGTACGCATCCGGACTGATCTTTCCATTTCAATTTTCCGCCCCTTCGAGCGTAAAAGTGGCGAGGACGCGCGACGTCGCGGGGGAAACGGGAAAGGGTGGCCGCTTGTGCGGAACGTTAACTCCGTTTGGCCCCTTGAAAAAAGAAAGGCACCCCCGAACTCGCTCGGACATTTCTGCACCCCCTGGGACCTGACCAACACCGTGGGCCAATAATTATCTGTTACCCTTAATTTATTGTAGCCACCCCTTCGTAAATAAAAATGTTTGTTGTATTAGAAAATATAGAAAATTGCCACAAGGTAGATCGTGAAGAAATAACCCCTCACTTATTTTTCTATGGATGCGTTTGGCAAAATATTTGCCAAGGTAATCGAGCAAGGATCATCCAGGATGTTCGTCCCGTTCGTCCCAAATCCTGTCCTCCTTCTTCGGGAAACCAATGGCCATCGATTAAAGGGTTAATCGCGTAGACGGAACAATTTCGCAAGCTCGTCGCCCACGTAAACCGAGGTCCACGAGTAAATTACTTAATGGATTAACGTCTCAGTTGTACTGGATTCCGAAACGGAATGTCGAGTTTGCGGGCTGTCGACATCCGTGCACTTTCCGTGCAGGTATCCACCTCCTGCATACCTGGGCGGAACGTTCACTCGTGTACGAGCTACAAAGAAATTCAGCTACGTGAATCCACGGAGTCGCGATAAATTGTATTTAATTATTGTAAAACCCGGCGATAACATTAACATAATTAACCCAGTTCGGGGTGCGCTTTAATTTACTCGCCGATAAGCCGTCGCGCACTCTTTGGCTCGGGCTTTTCGCTTCGTTCGTTTTGGTCGATTGAAAATTCCCTAACGAGTTCTTTTCGACGAGTTAACTGGACGCTAAACGGTGCCGTTCGAGTTATCGAGACGTCTTTTTCAATGGCCACCGATTAGTGAGAATTACGTGGTCTCCTCGGTCTCGGAAGGGTACTCCCAACTCGAAGGTTTTACTGTAGGTACGCTTTTATTTCGTTTGTAGGTATATCATAGATATAGCTTACGAGTATAATTCTACATCAAGGTTTCGAAAATGGATACATTTACATTCATTGTCAATGGATTATTCCTCCGTCGTCGTCTCGCGCGTCTCGGCCTTATCCAGGTTGGTAATACTGATCCTTCAGCAGTCGTTAATCTAGACGCGAGACTCCGCCCTCGGCGTTACTCCGTTACTTCGTTACTTAACGTGGTAGGTAAAGGTATCGTAGGACAGCTATGCGCTCTTACGGTTACGGCGTTACATTAAATTGGATATATCCATGGATTCGCGAGGGGAATCCGGGGACGGTTGCGGAAGTATGCCGCAACCGAGGGCCCGCGGGGTCCGCGCTCGCGGGGCGTGTTAATGGTACGTAAAATCTTGGTATTTACACTGAGAGAATTAGGAAGTAATACACGGTCCATCCATCTAGTAGGTACAGCAAGACAACACGTAGGATAAATTCGAGTCGTTCGAAGAGAAGTGCACCGAGCACACCGGGACCGACAGTCAGCCGCGAAGTGCCGGAGCACCGAAACGGAAAAAGCGTCCCCGTCGCTCGGACGAGAGGAAAGGGCCCCGAGGGCCTTCCCGCGGACCTTCAACGAAATACGCACCCGAAACTTACCGCGAATAAGAGGATTGCTTGATCCCGGTCCGAAGATCGACCGATCGGTGCGGTCTTTGTATATATAAAATAGAAAACTCAACAAACACCCCTAGTTGCTGTCGGCGTCGCGCGCGCATTGGATGCGCCCCGAAGAAAACTCGAAGGGAAATTAATACGGGCACGGCGAGTGGACGAGTCGCTAGAGAACGAATTGACGCGGTCGTTAAGTCAACGGCAGCAGGCCGTCTACTCGTCTGTATCGATGGATCTCAAAAATGCATTCCGAATACGTTCCCGGTGGCGGAGACTCTAGGAGCCGCGGCGCGCGCGAGTCAAGCGTCAACATCGAGCCCCTGTAAGTCTTTCCAGAAAGGTCGGACGAGGGTGCTCGATGGATTCGCGGATTCACGAATTCATGGACCAGGCGATGGGCCCAAAATCGCGGGGGCCGGAGGAAAATGGAGACCTCTTTTCAGGGCCCCCAACCGCGGCCTCCGAGAATCCAGCCGTTCGACTCACCGCGCGCCGCGACTCCGTGGAAGACTCGTCGCGGCGTCTCTCGTTCTTCTCAACAAAAACAAACATACGACACAAAAAAAATACACAGAAAAATAAACAGTTCATAAATAAACAATGATATCTCTAGGTATAAAGAAAATATAACAAACAATTTCAACTTGATTCCTGTGCTTCCGTGAGACGGATTCGGCTGCGATCAGCCCTTTAATATTAGTCGTACTCGCTCCTAGCCGAGGCTTACTTTAATTCGCTTAATTACTTATTATAGTACGCATCGACAGCTACGCTTGTTCACACATACACACGCACACACTCTGCCTACATGCACTCCGTACCCATGCAGTGAATCATCAGGCTATCGACATGGTCGCTCGCTGCAGTCATTCCCTCAATATCTCGCTCTGTTTTCCCTCCTTTGCCCATGCTTCCGTTTCCTTCTTTCCCTCTGATCCTTGCAACAGTGTTCCTTAATTCGGATTAGAGAAGTCTTCGCGCGCTACGTGGTTCGCGAGCCTCTCCTTCGCGTCGAGCGTCGAACTCGAAGAGCGTCCCTCGCGAGTTTGGCAAGTCGGGCAAGTTGTACTACTATAGTATCGTTACGCTACATCTTAGTCGGTGTGGCCACCTCGATATAATACATTCATTTATAAGTATAATAAGTATATCGGTAGGTTTAGTGCGAGTATTAAGTGGGCACTGGGGAAGGGTCACTGGGTTCGGGGGTAGTAATGTTACGATGAATGTTACGTGATATGATTACGCGCCACTAGGTTTAAGATTAATCATAGAGAGACGAATAGGAGACGCCCAGAGTCGCCGGGGGCGTCGCGACGTTTCCTTCGAAACCCTCCCTAAAACACCGAGTTGGCTAAAAGAGGAAACGAAATCCACCGGGAATAAAAACGTACACGCGTCGACGTCTCGTCTCCCACTTTCTCGCGTGACTTTTTCAATCATATCGAAATCGATCGGAGTGGGTTTTAGAAATATAAATCGTCGCCCGCCATTTATAACGTCAGTTTCTCGCGTTTCAAGGAAAAATCGCGACAAGGACGCCGCGCCCGTTGACACCTGTCGTCTCCCACAAAAAATCGGGTCTCTCTCTTCCATGCGATAACACTTAGTAAAAACTAACGCCACCTGTCGTCTGTACAAATCGTCAATTAATTATTACATTATCATTTCCTCGTTTACGTATCTACTTGTCGGACGTATCGGCGCCGCCACTCGGGGAGTACTACTACGCGTCACTAATTAACGGCATAACATCAAACGTAACTAGCAATAATAGTTCGTAATAGAGATATATAAAGCTTTCTACAAATACGCCGTCACTCTCTTTCTCTCTCCCTCCCTCGTGTTCTCGCGATCCGTATGTATCACCTCGAATCGTCGGTTCGCTCTCCAATCATCTCCGAACTTGCCGTATACATGTGCCATGGTGGGACAAAGGGCGTGATCACACTTTTTGACGCTTTTCGTTATTTCGAAGACTCGAAAGGTCCTCCTAAGCACGAACTAGCTCGTGATAATACCTAGGCGAGAATTTAACGCGGAGCGCGGAACCGATTATGCCTATCTTCATTAATTTATATATATATAAATTTATATTTATATATATGTATACGTACGCGCGTTTACCATGTCTAGTCTTCCGTTAAACGGCTCAAAGAGCTCGTTGGATCCCACCCTGTAAAGCAAATTACACGTCGCGGGCTCGCACGCGAAATCAGTCCGAGCTACAGGGAAAACTGATAAGTTAACCCAAAATAATGACGGGGTCAATTCGGAGAGTTCGATGCCGGATTTTTCTGCAGCGAGAAGGTCGCTCTGCCGTTTTCAACGCGCGTTACACGCCCTGCAGGGTAATGTGGCTACTTCCGGTATTGCGTCCATGTAAACGAGTACGGCATGTCCGTTTTCTCAAGATGGCGGAAGCTCCTAACTTTTCGCTAACTTCGGTCGGGACGTATCCGAGGGCGAGCTTGGCAGATCGCCCCTCTAGACTCTTCGCGTACGTTCACGTACACCTTATCGTAGATTCGCAGTTATCACGCCGCCTATCCTAAAATGTTCCTTATCGGCCTAATTGTCTAGGGCAAGAGCAGTCGAGACTGCCTCTCCTTTCTTCCTCGCGCTCTCGTTACCGTATCTTATCACTTTTAATTGTATATCTCCGGGCGGGTCACGTGACGTCCTTCCAGTGGACGTCTCGTTACCGACGCGCTCGGTGAACTGTATATATTTGCATACCCCTAGGATTTATGTACGTAATAGTTAGTACTTAGGCGACCCGTTGCCCGGATGCCGCAACGTCCAAATCGAAAATTAAAAAGAAATAAATAAACGCGCGCGCGCGCGCGATGGAATTTCGAAAAAATTCAACGTCCGCGAAATTTCATCCAGGTGGGAAGTCAAATTGTTCAATCAAATTATTAATCAGATTATTCAAGGTGCGTCTCGTAGGACGCCTTCCTTCGCGGCTTCTCTCCGCGTTGATTAATTTTGCCCGTGATTTTCTTTTTCTCTCTTCGGACGAGGGAGACATTTTTTTCCGGTTTTCCAGGTTAACCGCCAATAACGACGAATTCGTTCCAACGGGCTTCCAGGTTAACGGGCCGCGTGAATGCGGCGCATAGTAATCGTGTAGCGTATTAATATCCTACGTAATCCGAAGATAGTGTTCTTTTTTTCTCACCTTTCTCTCGCTCTATCTCTCTCTCTCTTACTCTCTCGAGCATGTGTGTGTGTTTGCGTTTCGAAGTACCGTAGGTAAAGGTGAATACCAACAACAGGCTCTATATCTACGAAAGGTCTACCCTGACACCAAATTACGTATTTAATGTACTAAGAGTGTGATACTCGTCCGGTAAAGGAGCGCGTCTCGCGTTTTCCGTCGCGGAAAAGCGCGCGCTGCGTTCGCCGTCCATCTTGGATTCGGGTGGACTCGCGGAGGTGTACTCGATCTCTCTCTCTCTCTCTCCTGCCATTCCGGGAATATTTCCTCTCGACGTTCCGCTCTCTCCACGCGCACGGTGTCAAAAAATGAAGAAAAAAAAAAACATCGAGAGAGAGACACCCGGGGTCGATCCTGGTCCATGCCGGTCGCAGTCGATTTCGACGTCCTTCTTCGTAGCTCTTCGGCATATAACGACGCGAGTAAAAACGTTTGGCCTGCGTCGAGACCACCATAGGTCCAGCTAGTCACGGGGTCGCGGTCTCCGAGTTGTGAAATCTTGCAGGGGTGGCGGCGATTCGGCGCGATCCGGCCCGATAAGTCGTAAAAATTCGAAAACGGCGGAATAACTCTCGGCGGTCGGAGGGGCGGAGGCTAAAAGAGCCGCGAGGACGTCGACGACCGCGGCAGGTGCGAGGGGCACCCCTCACGGCATGGACGGCGGGGTCCGGATCCCCCCGGGGGTACAGCCGGCGGTCCTTGGGGTCGAGGTCGAGGAGGAGGAACGAGGCAAGCAGCGATCGGCCGGCGAGGGGCCCAACGGAAGCGAAAGAGAGCGAGGGGAGCCTGTCGAGCGGGAACGCGCGAACCGAGGCGCGAATTAAATTAATTAAAAAAGGGACGTAACGATACAACGTGAACACATTAGAAACTCTCTCTACAATAACATTAAGGAAAACCAACATGGCCGACGCGTCGCCGAGCGAGGGGGGGTCGCGGGGGCGAGATCGCCGCCTTCGTCGTCGTCGTGGAGGTCGTCTCTCGGAGAGGAAGACCGGGAGGCTCGAGGGGCGTCGGGGGTCCGGAAGTCGAGGTCGGCCGCAGGCGTCGCGACGCCGGCCGTCTAAGTACTGGTGCGTGCTCGGGCTCGAGGTCGCCCGGGGGACCTCGGGGTCCCGGGGGCGCCCCGGGACCGTTCTCCGGGTCGCCAGACCTCCTATGTGGGGATCTTGTTGACCGCCTTCAGCAGGTCGCTCTGCGTCTTGTCCAGGCCCGCCACGTGCTGCTGCTGGTGCTGCAGGGCGTTCTGCTGCTCCTGCTGCATCTTGGCCTGCTTCTCGGCCTGCTGCTTCTTCATCATCTCCTGCTCCTCGCGCTCGCGGCGCGCCTGCTCGTTGATCTCCTTCACCGCCCTCAGCTCCTTCTTCAGCTTCATCCGCCGATTCTGGAACCAGATCTTGATCTGCCGCTCCGTCAGGCAGAGCGCGTGGGCGATCTCTATTCGCCGCCTTCTCGTCAGGTAGTGGTTGTAGTGGAACTCCTTCTCCAGCTCCAGGGTCTGGAACCGCGTGTAGGTTTGCCGCCCTCTTCGCCTCGGACAGCCGTTCGGCCCTGGAAGAAAAATGCCCGCCGAGTTAGACCAGCTTCTCCGGGGGTGGAGGACTCCTGCCCGGGGTCGCCCTAGCATACGCACGGAAACGAACGGTGACTCGATTTCGCCCGGATAGCGCGATCGCCGATTATTTTCCCGAACTTGGAAATCTTAAAATCATCCGCGTGGCTAGAATTCGAGGTTTTTCGGACCCCCCGTTTTTTAGGAGAAATCCTGGAATCCCGGACGCGACGGCCACCCTTCCTAACCCGAGAAAGTTCCTTCCCTTGCCCTCCGGTGTCCCTTTTTCTCGCTTGCTTTTTCCTCCTCGACTTTCTCCCGGACAAAGGCGTAATTCCGAATGGTCAGTTTATTGCAGGGGTTGAGGACCGACGCGGAAAAAAGAACGAGGCATGGTAAAAAAGAAAGTTCCTCGAAAGTTATCCTTTATGTCGGACGAACCCTTTTTCGGAACGGCCTGTCTTTCACCGTCCGACTTGACTTTCTCCGGTCAGCCCGAGCCGTAAATATGGCCACGGTCAATCGGCAACATTTTTATGGCGGTTATCGGGGGGAAAAAAAAAACGGAGGAGCACGGGGTTTCAGGTAGCCCTGGACTGACCGATTCCTGCCGAGGTACTCCTGCCAATTTCGGCGTTTCCAAACTCGAAGTCAATGCCGCACTTTCCGGCCGTGAAAAGTCAAACCCCAGCCATCCGTGTCTAATATCTATCGTAAAACCCTATCATCGATCGGCTTTACGATACCAATTTTCCCCTCGTTAACCTTAGAAAGCCTTCCCCCGGAAGAAAGTATCCAACATCGCTAAGTAAGGAAAGTACCTTCGCGAAGGAAAAAAAAAAGAAATTCCTAAATAATTTACACGGCGATAATTATTATCGGGCCCTGTTAAAAAGCACCTTCCGCGTCTACCCGAACGAAAACCGAGCTTAGGTAGGAGGTCGGTAAATCACGTAGATTTCAGACAACCCAACCCGAGCATAAACGTCGGAACTTCCTGCGAACGTGCGAATATAACGTTATCACTGAACGCAGTTAGGGCGTCGTTTGCACGTCGTACATCGCCATTAGTATATCAAAGAAAGCGGTTTCCGCGTATAGCTTGAATTTTCCACGAATTTTCAGCACTCGACAAGCCCGGTCGCGACGAAATTCGCATATTCACGAGATTGACCCGCTGACGGGCATAACGCGGTTTCGAAAAATAACCTCGCGGAACCAGAAAATCCAACATGGCCGCCCTCGACGGTCGGGAGGAATAATTTTCATTACTTATCGCGAACGAAGAAAATGTATCCCACCCACAATGGACCAACCCACACGTACTCATTTAACTGCAATTTTCAGACATTCGAGATACCGACCCTCGCTCGAGACTCCACCGCGGAAAAATGAAAAGGCATCCCATAAGAAGGAGATCCAACGTGGTCGCCACCGACGGCCAAGAGAAATAATCGGGATTACTTATCACCTTCTTTATAAACGGAAATTTCCCACATTCGCAAAATCAATCCGCGCTCCAGACTCGAAAATAAAAGGGCATCCCATAACGAGGAAATCCAACATGGCCGGCATCAATGTCTGCAGAGGAATAATCGGGATTATTTATCGCGATCGAAGAAAACGGCTTCCATTCCCTACGGACCATCCCTACGTACACGTCCGCCCTTGCATACACGATCCTTCGTGTACAACCCTTATATGCACGTCGCCGAGTCGCGGGGTGGGCGCGTTAACCGCGGGGAGGACGCGTCGGAAAATCTCGCGGAATGCGGGGAATGCTGATATTGAATTCAACATGGCCGTTCTCGGCAGTGCGGTCCGTAGGAACGCGCCGGTGCCCCGGGAAGGGTGCAGAGGGTGCAGAGGGTGCAGAGGGTGCACGCTCGACCGTGCGCCGCGGCGGGCGGGCGCGGAGTGGCGAGGGGACGCGCCTCGCCGAAGTCCGAAGGGTGGGCCGGGGGTTACCCCGGCAACCGGAGGGGTGGCCATTCCACCCCGCTGACGGCATTTCACCCCGTCGGTTCGCCGGCTGGTTTCCTGCTCGGCGGCGCCGACGTCGAGTCCTCCGCGAGGACTCGCTCCTTTTCGGGAGGCGCCCTATGTATCGCCGCGCGGTCCTACATAGGACGCCCATGTACCGCATGCCCCTACATAGGGCGCCCATGTACCACATGCCCGTACATACGCGCCTTATTCCGACCTCCACCCTCCGAAAAATAAGGACCTTCCCAGGACGAGCCTACCGCGGGGTTTATGCGAACGCCCCTACGTGCCGAGAATCTCGAGGCCGCAGAAAAAGAGGACGTCCCACTCGGCTTCCCCGAAGTTGGCCAAATTGTCAATCAATGTGCGTTTGCATGGCCCGAAGTGGGCCCTAAAACTTCCCGGTGCTCGGCCGTGCCCGAAAGACCGGCCGGTTAATTCACTTCCGGTTGGTTCTTGCGATTCTTCGGGCCGACTCGCAGGGATGACCCGCCCTGGAGGGGACGCGCTCGTAATCGATCCCCGGGTAGTTAAGATCCCCGAAAATCGACCATCGACTGCCGCGATCGGTGTATTAACCCGGGTCGTATAAAGGCGCGAGGGGTCCTAAACATTTAACGATCATGGACCCACGAGCACTCGAGCTTTGCATTTCTGACCCAAAATCCGCACCTTTCGAGCCGATCGACGATCACGGGAAACTTAGCTCTCGCTTTCATCCGAGGACCTAAATATTTAATGGCGATCATTCAAGTTTTTCCTATCTCTAACCCGAGGTCCGCACCCTTCGCACTCTTCCCCGACCAATAATCATCGAAGGTACCTACTAAATCATTTTCAGCTGTATCGTCCTTTGACGGTTACCCCCGGAAGAAGAATCCCTCCCTACCGACGCGAGAGCGACTTAAATATTTAACGACGGTAATGAAAGTTTTTTCATTACTGACCGAAAATCCGCACCCTTCGCCCCTTCTCCCGATTAATAATCACACCTAATAGGAAATCTTCAGGTGTATCGCGCTTTGACAGTTGCCCCCGCGAGAAGAGTCCCTCCTTACCGACGCGACGAGATCGCTAAGCATCCCCACCGACCTTGCAAGACGCGTAGTCGCGAGAGCGACTTAAATATTGAACGACGATAGTTCAAGCTTTCGCATTCCTGACCCAAAATTCACATCGTACCCGACCAACAATCACGGGCGACACCTGCCCGTAAACCCCGACGTGTATCGCGGTTTGACGGCCACCCCCGCGAGAAGAGCACCCCCTTCGCGACGAGATCACTAAGCGTCACCGCCGACTGCAGGAGGGGGTGGGGCTTGTAAAGTCGCGAGAGCGACCTAAAGATTTAACGATCATAGTTTAGACCTCCGGGGAAGGTGCTCCGCCCGGAATCGGCACTCCACCCCGTACTTAAGGGAGGACTCGCGCCCATGCGACACTCCGTAAATCCATCCCCGGAGTTGAGGGGCGCCGGGGGGCAAATCTTGGGGGGCTTCCCCCCCGAAATGCGGATCGATCCATGGAGAGAGGAGACTTTCGGGAGATCGTACCTTCCGGATAGACGAGCCACGGATGCGCCGAAGAGCGGAGGCTCGTATCCGCGTCCCTCCGAAAATCCGCTGCACAACAGACCCAGACAGGGAAAACATTTAGTCAGTCATCGATTCTTACTTGCGGGGCTTAAAAATCGATCGGCTCGCCCTCGGCGAGTATTAAATTGAAAACGGGGTCGGGGGTCAAGCGTTAAATAAATGTTTGCCTTCGGACGACGGGGCGAAATGGCCGAAGGAGGAGAAAAACGAGACGCCGCGGCGGCCATTGTGTGTCATGCGAGTACGCCCGGCGTGGAAATAGCACCGAGGTTCTTTTTTAGTTAATGCACCTCCCCGATCCCGGTAAACGGTTGCTTTTGTGCCGCGCCGTTGCCCGCCGTGATGTAACGTCCACTCGTCGCGAGGATTTCATTAGTTCTTGTCAGGCCTGTATAATGCCACTCGTCGCGGCGTTAATCTGCGCCGCTCGTCGCGAGTTAACCGTAACCTATTTACCGCAATTAACAAGTTGCCTTTAAACAAGGCAAACGGTATCCCGAATTGAATGCCGAGCTTTCGAGTGCTCTCGGTTTCTCGTCCCCTCCGCGTCGGATCTATTAGCCGCCATTTTGAAAAAAACATTCCGCCGCGATTTAACCACGAGTTATGTGTTAAGGGGGTTGCAATTAAGTCTGGACGAGGGGAATCTATCTCTTTTGCACCCACCCCAGGAATAAAGCATTCGATCGATCAGGGTGGCGGAAATGGCGGAGTCGAGTCTTCGAGGCCTGTGTCTAATCGCCACGGTATATTATTAGGCCTAACTGTGATTTTCGGTTCCGGAGGGGTGGTACAAGGAGGGGTCTTCGTCCTGGCCGAGGACCTCGGTCTTTTCGAGGAGAAGCTCGCTCGACGAGGTCCTCCACCGAGACCTAACCCGGACCGCCCTGTCCCTCTCGGGCATCCCCGGAACCGGATATCCAGAGCAGCGATAAATCGACCAGGGGCGGTTAACGTCAGACTCAGCTCCGCTCTCTCCTTTTCCCCTGAAGGCCCTATACACCCCGGTGACACCCCTGCCCTGTCGAGCACCCTCCAGGTGCCGCATCGGAAACCACTTTCCTTCGCACCCTGCGCTACCGACCTCGAATTTTGCACCCTCCATCTTGTCTTCCACCCGTTTCCGCATGGAAAATACCCTAAAGCGAGCCACCCATCATCGAAAACTGCCAATCCGGAAGAAATAACTCGTCACATTAAGCCTGGCACAAGATAATCCCCGAGGGGGAATGAAATTATAATAAATTATACTACAAAAATAAATATATACGGCGTTGCGTCGTCCCGATTAAAGTCAGATAAATTTTAAAAAATTCCCCCCTACTTTCTTGAATTTTTCAGCCACTCGGACTTGCATTCCCTCCTCCATGGGATTTACAGGAACGCATTTCTAATTACCCACTCCTTAAGAATGGATC